CTTTTATTAGTTAATTTAAAATATATATGTAGAAATGAATAAATGAAAAATAAAACATGTAGACAGGCAGATTTATGAGTATGTTCACTGGTGTGAAAAGATAAGATAACTCAGTCTATTAATATAGAGCAAAATAGTATCAACCAATGAAACATAGAGTCCCCACTCTGGGAGAATGAGAGATGTTAATAAAGTGAGCGAACTAGCAATATTGTAAGTCGCTCACACTGAGTGATTATAAGTTATACTTGGTTGTAAATCAATACAGAATGTGGCACTGCTTGAATGATAAACATGGGCCGATTGTGTCAGAGAAAAGGACCATGGTAATCAAGCAAAAAATAACAATCAAGGAAGAGAGAGAGATCTCCTGTAATAATAGAGTAAAAAGGACAAATATATAACAGGTGCCTAGGCAATCTGTCGTCCTAATTCTAAGGTGTTACAAAAGATCATAAGTTACTTGCTGGATATAAATGGGTTATCTAAATCAATATGAGCCCAAAATCGTGGAGCAAAAATGGAGGTGTAATAACAGCAGAAACAGATCCCCTTCAATTCCCACTTGAAAACAGCTCAAAACTCCTGATAGTTCCCCCCACTGGAGATAGCTCTAACACTTGTAAAGAACTAGTCCGATCCAACATTTGGAGAGAGCGATCTGGATACTCTAACTCTAACTGCCTGTCTAAAGATGCCTGGAACTACCTAACATATGTTTCGGCGCTGCTAACGCGCCTTCGTCTGAGGCAAGGCAACCGGACGCAGCTCTCCGGTAACAATTTAAAGCTGCACATAGCCAATCACTGTAGGGGGGGCGTGGTTACATCATTCGCGCCCAAACAGGATACGAATTGGCCACGCCCCCTATGACCGTGGTGCCTGATAATTGGTGGGGAGCCCCTAAGGGAAACAAACTGAATTAACCCTTGATGTTACTATTGTTTCACAGTCCGTGAAAAAATATATATATATATACGTGAAAAATACTGCTTTGTCCATATAGATATTGATGAATTAGAGATCTACGCAGAGGTCTCGAAGGTCACATGCATAAACTTTATGAGCAAGTGTGGATACAACAAAGTAATAATGATGCATCTCACAAGTTCCTCGTATTAAAGGAAAAAGGCAAATTTGTGTATAATTCAAATGGACTATATAATAATATATGCAGAGTTCAATTGGACTGGGAAGGAGAAAAGAAAAAGGAATTTTCTTTATTTTCTATTTAAGTAAGGGTTATCCCCTATGAGGTTGTCCCTGACACATTAATACTATAGTTTCCCTATTGGGATACTATCGTTTCTCTCTTTTTTCAATTTAAAGGTTTCAATACCTAATTTGTGTCATACCAGAGTACTTCAGCCATAAACATGGCTATTAATTTCTTAAATCAATTAGGAGATTCGAATCAATGGTGTAAAGATGCTGAGACAGTTTTCTCAGAAAAAGAAAGCAATTTTCTCTCTCAAGAAGTAAGCATTGACTCTAAATTTAGATCATTATCAAACACCTGCAAACAACAAATTAGAATAGGATGGGAACTCTCTTCTTTACAGAATTACCTTAGTAAGTCTATGATTCCGAGAGGGCTTAGGGTACAGGTTATGCCAAATAATCAAATGGAGGATGCTATCCTCCTAAAGGAATGGGAGGAAGCGGCTAACACATGCTCCCGCACCTTTATGGACATAATCTGTAGGTTTGAGACCCAGAGACTACTACTTATTAATAACAAGGTTAAAGAGGCTGTAGATGTGATACAACATCATAAGGAAGACCCTAGTTTTGAGACTCATGAACAAAAACTCCAACAGAACCTCAATAAGTACCAAGATGGGATTAAAAATAGAAAACATCGCAAATTTCTGAGGGATAACCAAGATTACAAAACTGACAGAGTCTATAGGAAGTTTAGAAAAAACGTAAGGGTTGATTCAGACCAATGCCTGACGTCAGACTATGACACCTCTGACACTGAGAATGAAGGTAAAAATACACCTACAACACCAGAGAGCAATGCACAGTCTAAGGGAATCCTTAAAAAAGGAGTAACTTTTTTAGGATCACACCCCCGAGAGGGGGAAACACAACCCCAGTTCAGACAAACAAGGTTCAGGGGCAGGACACACAAACGCCACTAGGCAATGATATGAAAGTCATCAATCTTTCTGGGAGAACACTAACTCAGTCCCAAATTAAGGTCCTAATGAGGGGTCTATCTTTTGTTCCTGTACCCCCATTCAATAAATTTGAATGGGTAAAAGATGTACATTTATTTGGAAGACGTTTGGCTCTCCATAAATTTTTCTATAATCATAATGAAAAGAGAGCAAAAGATCTAGGGTTCAATATGAGGGAATATCAATGCTTGAAAGATCTGGTGTCCCTATTGGAAGACAATGATGACACTAGAGACATACCATACACTGACTTGTGTCCTAAAAGCAAGTTTACTCCCAATATAAAAGACTTCAAGAACATTGACATGTTCGTTGAGTCGTCTTGTCAAATGATTGAGAAAATCTCAATGGATTCACTACAATTATATCCACACAACAATCTTACCCATGATGAACGAAGGGCTCTTAATGAATTACAGAATAATCAGGACCTTATCATTAAGCCAGCAGATAAGGGAGGTAATGTTGTGGTTATGAATAGATCTCAGTACATTGAACTAGCCTCTAACATTCTCAGTACTGAACAAACATACAGAATACTACCGACTGACCCCACGAATAAGTTCCTCTGTGAACTCAAAAACCTGCTAGACTCAGCCTTTGACAGTGGAGTTTTGAGTAAAGATGAATATGCATATATCTACATTAGAAATCCCACCGTGTCGACATTCTACTGTTTACCAAAAGTACACAAACAGCACAATTTACTGACAGCTAGACCCATAGTGTCCGGATCAAATAATCTAACTTGTAGAGCCAGTATCTACATTGATAGAATTCTTCGTCCATATGTAGAGAAATTACCATCTTACTTAAAAGATACAAAGGACACGTTAAAATTCTTACTAGCTACCAAGTTACCGGAGGGTGCCATTATATGCAGCCTTGATGTAGAGGCATTATATTCATCTATTCCTCACACCTCAGGTGTATCCCATAATCAACATTTTTTGGATACACGGGGAAAAAAACACCACAGCCACACGTGTTTTGTGATTGATCTACTCAAATTTGTACTTACTCATAACTTCTTCCTCTTCAACGGTCGATACTACCACCAGGTGCAGGGCACTGCGATGGGCACGTCTTGTGCTCCGTCTTATGCCAACCTGCACCTAGGGTGGTGGGAAGAGAATGTGGTACACTCAGAAATAAATGCTGAATTCACCAAGTACATCTTCCTTCGGAAGAGGTACATAGATGATATTCTCATTGTCTGGACCGGTACGGCTGACTGCTTTACAACTTTTGTTGAAAGACTCAATTTGAATAATTTAAACCTTAGGTTCACAATGGAAATAGGACATGAGTCCCTTAATTTCTTAGATTGCACTTTGAGAATTACGGATGAGCATCTCATTAAAAGTACTCTGTTTAGAAAACCCACCTCAACTAATACGATGCTGAGGTGGGAAAGTTATCATCCTTTAACTTTGAAGAGAGGCATCCCAGTTGGCCAATACCTCCGTTTGAGGAGGAATTGCTCGACTATAGATGATTTCATCCTGCAGGCCAAATCTCTGAGACTGAGATTTAAAGAAAGGGGGTATCCCAATCGCTGTCTGAAATATGCCTACCAGAGGGCACTTAACAGTGATAGAGAGGGACTTCTCCAGGATAAACCAGCATCTCCTAAATCTGAACCCATCAGATGTATAGCTAATTTTGATGCTGGATAGGAACAAGCCAAAAATATACTAAATAGGTTTTGGCCCCTCCTCTCACAAGACCCTCAACTAGTTGGAGTTGTTACTCCACATGTATCCCTTACTGCACGAAGAGGAAAGAATCTAAAAGAAACTCTGGTACCTAGCCATTTTTCACTTAAACAAACACAACGATGTTGGCTATCAGTGCAAGGGACCTACCAATGTGGTAAATGCGTGGCTTGTGGATACATCAATAAAGGCTCAAAAGAACTAACAGACTCAACAGACAAAACTATATGTAAGGTCAAACATTTTTTCAATTGCAACACAAAGGGAATTATATATCTCCTTAGTTGTGTTTGCGGGTTGAAATATGTTGGCAAGACAATACGCCCCTTTAAAAAGAGAATTATGGAGCATGTATACTCCATTAGGAATCTCAAAGAAACTCCTGTGGCAAGACATATTAGAACTAGCCACAATGGAGATTCCAAAGCCATCAAATTTGCAGGTATTGAAAAAGTTAATACTGGCGTTAGGGGAGGAGATCTGGATAGAATCCTCTTAAAAAGGGAATCATTCTGGATCTATAGATTCAACAGCTTAGCCCCTAATGGTCTAAATGAGGGCTTTACCTTTACACCATATATTGATAAATGACACCCAACATTAAAACAATAATGAAGTACTTTAATTCAATTTCAATATTTTTTGCCTAAAAATTTTTCTTTCTTATTTATCTATTATCCACCTCTGTTTGTAGGTTATGAATTCAAATATATTACATATCCTATCCCTGATTTGGAAGTGGCAGCCAAAGTAAGCCCCTCTTTTTCTTTTCTCCTTCCCAGTCCAATTGAACTCTGCATATATTATTATATAGTCCATTTGAATTATACACAAATTTGCCTTTTTCCTTTAATACGAGGAACTTGTGAGATGCATCATTATTACTTTGTTGTATCCACACTTGCTCATAAAGTTTATGCATGTGACCTTCGAGACCTCTGCGTAGATCTCTAATTCATCAATATCTATATGGACAAAGCAGTATTTTTCACGTATATATATATATTTTTTCACGGACTGTGAAACAATAGTAACATCAAGGGTTAATTCAGTTTGTTTCCCTTAGGGGCTCCCCACCAATTATCAGGCACCACGGTCATAGGGGGCGTGGCCAATTCGTATCCTGTTTGGGCGCGAATGATGTAACCACGCCCCCCCTACAGTGATTGGCTATGTGCAGCTTTAAATTGTTACCGGAGAGCTGCGTCCGGTTGCCTTGCCTCAGACGAAGGCGCGTTAGCAGCGCCGAAACATATGTTAGGTAGTTCCAGACATCTTTAGACAGGCAGTTAGAGTTAGAGTCTCCAGATCGCTCTCTCCAAATGTTGGATCGGACTAGTTCTTTACAAGTGTTAGAGCTATCTCCAGTGGGGGGAACTATCAGGAGTTTTGAGCTGTTTTCAAGTGGGAATTGAAGGGGATCTGTTTCTGCTTTTATTACACCTCCATTTTTGCTCCACGATTTTGGGCTCATATTGATTTAGATAACCCATTTATATCCAGCAAGTAACTTATGATCTTTTGTAACACCTTAGAATTAGGACGACAGATTGCCTAGGCACCTGTTATATATTTGTCCTTTTTACTCTATTATTACAGGAGATCTCTCTCTCTTCCTTGATTGTTATTTTTTGCTTGATTACCATGGTCCTTTTCTCTGACACAATCGGCCCATGTTTATCATTCAAGCAGTGCCACATTCTGTATTGATTTACAACCAAGTATAACTTATAATCACTCAGTGTGAGCGACTTACAATATTGCTAGTTCGCTCACTTTATTAACATTTCTCATTCTCCCAGAGTGGGGACTCTATGTTTCATTGGTTGATACTATTTTGCTCTATATTAATAGACTGAGTTATCTTATCTTTTCACACCAGTGAACATACTCATAAATCTGCCTGTCTACATGTTTTATTTTTCATTTATTCATTTCTACATATATATTTTAAATTAACTAATAAAAGGTATATTTTATTTTATATTATCCATCTGATGGTTAAAGGGACCTCCTACCCATTATTCCAGAGAGAAGCTTTTTTTCACTGGAATTTTCTTTATTTTCTATTTAAGTAAGGGTTATCCCCTATGAGGTTGTCCCTGACACATTAATACTATAGTTTCCCTATTGGGATACTATCGTTTCTCTCTATATACATATGTATATGACTGTGTAGGGGACGTATGATTGGTTGGATCAGTACGTGTGATTCAACCCGAGTATGCATGCAAAAGGATTTAAGCCTTATGTGTCATCGTCATGACAGAGAAATGAGGCCTGTAATGTAGGCTGAGTAAATTTGAAATGAAATGGATAGTTATAAAACTCCTGGCGTGGGAGTTCAATGATCTGTACCGAAATGTAACTGGTTTTATAGAAAGGGACATGGATGAGGTCATGGCCTAATTAACACAGCGTTATGTATGATATGTAGCAGAAAGACCAAAGGCAGGGATACCCCAAAATGATTTAACATGATGTAAAGTGATGTATATCTATATGATATGTATGTATAGCAAAGACGTATCAACCCGAGAATTATTGCTTAAATGAACCTATCCTTGTATATGTTGTATAAATAACCCAGAAATGAGGCTTGTAACATAGGCTGAGTCCATTCGTATAAATGGATAAGTAATGCAGACCCCTGAAAGCGTGGGAGTCAAATGGTATACACAGAGAAGTGGACTTGATTTGTGGACGTAATACAATACTGACAATTGTTAAAAGTAATCAACAATAATCTATTTAAGCAAGCAATACTTTAACCGAATGTTATATACACATGAAATGGTGAATATAATTCATGAAAGGATTATACGTGAACACACAGAACAGCCGAAAGCAAATGTGAGGGGAACACAGAAGTTAGAATAGTTTAACCGTATGATTTATGCGAACCAAAGCGTGTATGAGCGTATGTAAAATTTGCCGAACGGCAAAACAACCGAATGAACATTCGTTTAAATAACATGAATAGGATATGCGAAATGACTATTGAACGATTTAAAACATGTTCAGCCGAATGACCGTACGAATGAAAAGCCCGCGAATGGCTTGAAACATTCGTGTCATAACCAGGGAAAAGCCGTAAAGCGAGGACCCGTGCTGTACCGTACGCCGTGGGAACCAGTCCTGGCGTGACAGGAAGGTCTGACTTACGGTTTAGGAGTCCCTGGGACGCGATCTACGACAGAGAACGGAGTCAGAAGAAGCTGGACGGGCGGAAAGGCCTGAACAGGATTCCTGGACACAGCTTAACGTGGTGAAACCTCCTGGATACTGAAACCAATATGGCGTCTGAGAGAACCCGGAAGTGGATCCTCATTCAACGCTGACCTTGAACGGTAAGGAGCCAGGCAAGGGGAGTGCCTTAAGTAGGCTAGGGGTAGAAAACCAGCACCTCCCACAAATGCAGGCAAATTGCCTTAATACATATATTTTTTTTTTTTTAAATAATTTTTACAGTTTATTTTTATTTTTTTTTATAATATATATATATATATATATATATATATATATATATACACACATAATATATATATAGATATTATATATGTTATAAATATACATGTGTAATTTTACTCTAAGTGTATTTTTATATTAATATATGTATATATTAATAAAAAAATACACTTAGTATGACGTTATATATAAGAGATATATATATCATATAGATATAATATATATATATATATATATATATATAGAGAGAGAGAGAGAGAGAGAGAGAGAGATAGATAGATAGATATATCTCATATATACACATATTTTTTTTTTTTTTTTTATTACCTTTTATTTATTTTCCTTTTTTCACCAGCAGGGAGACTGCCTGTCAGTTCAGGCAGTCCCCCAGCATGCAGCACTGTGGACACCTATGGTGGACATGTGACCGCTCTTTTAGAGCGCTCACATGGCCCCTGGGGTCCTAAATTGAAGAGGGGGACTCTCTGGGCTCAGTCCAGAGAGGCTCCCCCTTCCAATAAGAAGACCGACCGCCGGAGGGGGAACGGCTGTGATCGTTAAGTACATGGGGAGGGAGAGGGAGGGTAGGGGTTAATTTAAAAAAAATGTTTTACTATTACGGTGTGCCTCGACCCCTCGAGGCACTCAGTACAGACAGAGCATAGTAAGCCTGCCTGATGGCTTCCATTACTCTGCCTCACTGCCGGGCTCCACGTGGAGAACCTGGAAGTGAACGTTCCAGGGGTTAAAGAAGAGCCCTTTACCCTCCCAGCAACCAGATTACACATAGTTCTGGTAGTACAAGCTGGAGTACAAGTTGGAATAATGGCAGCCACAACTGGCCTTATATGTCTTTGGGCAGGAGGCTGGCAAGCAGGCTCCTCCAGGAACTCGTGGCAAACTCACTTGAAAAGGGGAGTTGGTCACAACATATATACACACATATACCTATGTGTTTAAACCATGATTAAGGATGCAGTTTGTCAACAGAGGGATTTCAAGTGAGGAGTATGGATGCTAACCTTATAAAAAACTACTTAACCCTAGGTTCTACACTTCATCCTTCAGTGGCATTAACAACACTTTATAGAGCTTTAAAGATATGGCTGGAAAACCTGGAGGAAGATATTCAAAATGGGGTACGCAGAGAGCATCTGATAGAAAGTCTAGAAGACTTTAAGATAGCGACTTAGTTTTGATCGGAGGCATCCTTGGATCTCATTAAAATGATAGCCAAAAGTAAGGGCACTATTAGTAGCTTCGAGAAGGGCTCTATCGCTACCCTCCTGGGGAGCAGACTACGCTTCTAAAGCCTCTCTTTGCGTCTTCCCTTCCAAGGAGATTTACTATTTGGGAAAGATCTGGATGAGGCCATTCAGTAGGTGGGAAAAAAATCCTTTTTACCCTAAGAAAAAATGAAACCTATTGCTTCATCATGGAGGAATAATAGATATAGGGATCAGTCCTTTTGGGAGAGAAGAAGCTATAGATCTGAAAGATAGCACTCCAGAAACACAAATTGGAGAAATTACTGTCAGACATCTACTAACAAGTCCTCAAGAGGGAAAGGAGCTGCTCCTTGCAGACCCTTCCTGCTCATTCCTGTTCCTTTGTGCTCCTTCTCCTACTTTACCTTTTGTGCTCCTTGCTGCCCCTTCCAGCTCCTTGATGTCCCTTCCTGCTCATTTCTGTTCCTTCTCCTTTCTGCTCCTTTTCTTACTTTACCTTCCTACTCCTTGCTTACCCTTCCTGTAGGCTGTCTCCCCCATCCCTCACTTACCTGATCTATAGTCTGCCTCCCCCCCATCCCTCTATTCCCTGATCTGTAGGTGGATCCCCCATCTCTCACTTACCTTATCTGTATGCTCCACCCCCCATCTCTCACTTCCCTGATGCCTCACTTCTATAGGCTGCCCCCCCATGCCTCACTTCTATTGGCTGCCCCCCTCACTTCCTGATCTATAGGCTGCCCCCTCACTTCCCTGATGTATGGGCTGCCCCCATGCCTCACTTCCCTGATCTATATTCTCTACCACCCCCATCTCTCACTTCCCTGATCTATAGGCTGCCCCCCATGCCTCACTTCTATAGGCTGCTCCCCATGCCTCACTTCCCTGATCTATAGGCTGCTCTCCATGCCTCACTTCCCTGATTTATAGGCTGCCCCCCATGCCTCACTTCCCTGATCTATAGGCTATCTCTCCCCTGTTACCTGATCTGTAGGCTGTCTCTGCAGTTGCTGGCTGCATGTGCCGCTCCCCTGTGGATTCAGTCAGGAGAGAGAAGCAAGGATAAGATGTAGCTTCCTATCTCTGTCTCTCTCCATACACAGCTGGTATTGCACTGTATTTTCAATCTCACACGGAAAATAGCAGTTCAAGCTTAAAAATCCAGGGTGCAGGGGGGGAAAGATCCCCCCCCACCCCCACCCCATGGGCAGATGCCCATGAACAGGAGGTATCTTATTGTAAAGTTCCATAAGAGTTCTTAATAGTAGCCCCAGTGTCATGTTTTTTCTTTAACAAATGTCAAACAAAAAAATAAGAACCACTCACTTTTTATTTTGAGGCAGTTTCAGCACGGCAAACTGATGTGGCAGCAAAGCAGAGAGAAAAAACTGACAGTCCTTGAAAATAGAAGTTTAGGTGATGTGTCCTGGGTTAGTCCATAAGCAAAGTCCTTTATCCAGTCCAAGGTCGTTCAATAGGAGATCAAGCAGTATTGAAGGAAATTCCAAAAGCAGAGTCAAGGCAAGTCCAAATTAGTTAGCCAGGAAATCAAAGTTATAGTTGCATGAAGAGGAGATTCAGAAGGGATCCGGTAACGGAACACACGGTCTCTCTAAGAGTGATCCAAAGGATTAGAAAGGAACTTCATGCAATTGGTCAGATTAACACATTATATGTGCACTGAGGTGTTGGGGATTGGAGTTTAAACAGCCAAAGGGGTGTGTACTTCCATGCTGTCTTAAAGGGCCAATAATAAATGAATAAAATTTCTGACACC